GCCCAGGGATGGGGGGGGGGAGGTCTTTCAGTCTGAGTCCCAAGTCCAGGTTTTTGATCCCAAATCCCTATTAGAAACAAGCTTTTACCCCTCCCCAGAGAAAAAGAGAGGGTGGGTGGCTTCTGCGTCAAGAGTCAAATCCGAGTCATTGGGGGGGGGAACCGAGGAGTGTCCGAGTTGAGTCACTTAACAGCAAGTCCCATGACGCAAGTTCTCATCCATGGCAAGGCCTCCTAATGACAGAGCAAACCAGAACTGAAGTCACGCCTTGGATAAATTTCTGGCTTATCCTTCTTCCACCACCAGTCCTCGGCACCCATCATTTTTAGGGCAGTCTTTGGGAAAGTTTACTTTTCTCGGCCACTGCCAGAATCCCCCCCCCAGCCCTTACGGGAAATGGCCAGCCATGCTGCCGGAGAGAACGGTGGCCTCTCTAAGGAGGTAATTTTTTCCAAGCTCTGCTTGCGTTTCTGGACCATTCGCCCTACGTATTTATCTCAGGGGTTTTTTCTTCCATGCTACTAGAAATTGTCAATTACAAAAGTCAGAGGAAGCAGAAAGCTCAATTAAGGAACCGATTAAAAAAAGAGGGGATGAGGCTATCAAGCCACAAAAGCACTCCTCTCGAAAGACGTTTTATTAGAAGTTATCTCCTCCAGGCTGACATTGTGGGATGATAACGAGATGAGTTAATCGCCCAGCTTTGTCTTAAATTGAAGGCTTTGTTGGGCAATCTCATCTATCCAGAATTATAGAAGATAGGCCCCTTCACAAAAGATCATCTTCCCTCCGGTTGAAATAATAAAAAAATGAGAAGGAAAGAAAGAAAGCCAAACGTCTGGAGGTGTTTCTAACGGAAGGATTAACAATTAAACCAACATTCCTTCCAGGTAAAATCCCTGCCGTTCAACTGTCTGCCTTTTTCTTACATGATTGTTTGGTGCGAAGCTGTAGCCACTATTTCCTATGCCTAGAAAGAGCTCGACGTTCCATAAAAATGGAACTCCCATTAGAAAACACATTGGGAAATTCGTTAACTGAATATCCTGTGACGGGGTAAACCAACCATGTTTAGAAACAAACACCATCTTCATATCACTATGGAGCCAGTCAGACAGCTACTCCACTTGCTTTCTTTGTGCTTCTGAATCCATTCCCTATCACACAATCCTTTCTAAATAGTTAGAAAGTGTGCAAGACAGAGGGTACCCATTTAAAGGATAGATCTGGTCAGTGAGCCAGAGGAACCTGCTAATGGAAGGAAGTTGTCAAGCCAAGACTTGGGTTCAGTTTAATTAAATTCTGTGGGTTTCCTCTAACTGGGATTAGCAACTGGTTCTGGCCCTTTGTATATCTTCAGAAGAGGCTGTGT